ATCTTCTTTATCATAATAGAGTTATTTACTTTTTTTGGATTGAAATTATTGTTCTTATAATTGATTAAGTAACCTCTTTATTTCTTTAATACCCTATAAGGAGATTAAATTTTTGAAAAATTCTTTTAGAAAAAAAATATGAATTATTTCTATTTAGTGAATAAAGGACTTTAATGGTAGAGAGTTCGTACTTTAATTCAAACAAAGATCAATCATTTTAAGAAAGAATAGCAGATACAACAAAAATTTGGAAAAAATACTATTATGTGTTAATTAATACTTTTGAAATTTCATTTCTAGCATAAAAATAAATGATAGAAAATATAAATAGAATTAATCTAACACATAACCCCGAAATTTTTTTCCCTTGAGGAAGATGTTTAGTATCAAAAGAATATGTTTCAATTATTGGCAATCAATAATGATTCTGATTTAACCACTTCATACTAATTTTACACTGATTTTAATAACATTTTAGGTTCAAATAAATTAGTGGTTTTATCTAAGGATAAAGCTTTGTCTCCCTTACATTTAAACATACAATTAATTACTATGAAAGAGATCATTATGTTGCAAGTTATTAAGTTAAGTTTGTTGATTTAATTGATAGATGTTAGGACCTATACAATTACATCAATATAATATTGATTATTTTATTAGATGAGTAATACAAGGTAAATTAAGCGAAAGGGAATTCAAATATAAGGAAAATTCACGTTTGATGAAAATCCATTAATAAAATTAAAACAATCTTTTAGGAGAATTCTAATAAAAATGTTTAATATATAAACTTAATTCTTCCTCCATCTTCAGATTATAGATTAATTAAATTTTCTGAAAATTTTATAGATTTTGGTTATGTAGAATGTTATTAATAAAGTGGGGCAAGGAAATTGCAATTACAAAATAGACTTAATAGAAAATTGGCTATATTTTGGACAATCTAAATTCATCCTAATGTTAATGGAGAAAAAGTTCCATTTTTCATAGTTTCTTCACAGACATAATCAAGATAAGTAAATTTTAAAATAGATTCAAGTACTTTTGAATCTAAAATTCTCTTAACCTGGAATTAAAAATCAAAAAATACTATAGATTTTACATCTAAAGAAATGATTTCTATCTTTAATGGATAAATTAAATGTGTTGAACTTTCTTTTGGATTAATTTTGAACCTTGCATTCCTAGAATAGAATTTCTACCATCTGATAATGTTATTTATCTCATTTTACAATAGAAAAATCTGTATATTAAACAGTATAATTTATTAATAGATCGACACTCCAATATATTTTAATTTTAGTCTAGACCCAACTAAAACTTTTAAAATTAAAAATTTATTTAATGTAAATAATCATAAATGAATACTGTTGAATTTGTATCAGTTGAAAGACTATATATAATGGAGCTTTAGTTTGTGATATGAATCATTAATCTTCTAATTGAATAACTCTTTAAACAATGGGATATTGTATTACTCTTATGTTGAAATAATAAAATAATAGCAAAGTTTCTCCAACATACCAATATAGTTACTGAAATTCTTGCAGCAAACTAAAATCATATTGATATCATATTCCAATTGAATAAAGAAAACCAATTGAATGAGAGATTTTATAAAATTGCAGATGGAGAGTGAGAACTTAATGTTAAACAAATGATTTCAATATTATCAAAGCTAATTCCAATACAAAAAAACACGCTACTCGATTAATAATTTAGATTGCACATTTTATATTGAATTACTTCTTAAACCAAAAGTTAAAAAGGAATTATTGCAACAAACTCTAAATTAGATATTGAAATTGTAATCCTATTGAAATCTGTGAATTTAATCTAGTTTTAGATGTTATGGTAAAAGAAAAGGATCCTAGTTCTTTGTTGGGAATTTTGATACAAGAAATGATTCAATTAGTATTGCCACATTATGGGAAAACTTCTAAATTAATTAAATTAATACTGAATTAGCCAAAATTTTTATGAATATGAATAGAAATTTCTAAAAATTGAATAAATGACATTTTATTACTTCATAATTTGAAATTTATCAATTTAGTAACTTATTTAATTTTCCAATTTTACAATTATATGAACCTCATTCTTGTATTTAATTTATTCATTTTAAATAATTACCATAACTTTAATAGGAATATTAATAATTCTTATTTTAGAATAAGTTTATTTAAGTGAGCTTCTTGTAAATGCACAGTAGGTATCAATTTATAAATCTTAATTCTCAATTATCATATTCACTACAACTGATACTTCCTCATAATTATCTCTTAAAATTTCTTTGCAATAGGTAGAATTTCCAATTTTCAACCCTTATTTTATCCTATTTATTGATATATTTCAAAAAAATTAGCAGGGTAATCTTAGATATTTGCTGAAGATATACTATAGAAATAAACCCAATTATTTTCTTCACTCATCTAAAAATGCTATAGATATATCCATACCCTATTTGAATTCATATATATAATTACCATTATGTTTAAAAATTTGTTATATCTCCCTTTGTTGAAGGATTGTTAGCCAACTTTCTCTCAATGAATGAAGATTATATGAGATTTATAGGTTTATTTGGTAATACTACTTCTTTGAAAAGTTTTTATCATACTTTTTGGCTTCATCTAAAATAAATTAATTGC